ATAGGGGGCATACCCCCGGATATTACCTGTACTCCCTATAGACACACATACGCGTGGCCTGGATTCCTGGGTGGTTTCACGCGAGCCGCCCGCTGACTGTTCGCCATTTGCTGCCAAACTTCCTGCCGCTGGAAGATTCCTCGGTGCCCATTGGACACTTGGGCATTTTCTCGCGTGGCATCAGCAGCACAACCGCGTGCGGCAGCTGAAGTTGTCACCGCTGGATGATTGCTGCATGCCTTAGGCATTTCCTGGCTTGGTACAGCAGCCAGCACATCGACAGCACGCTAGGCTGCGGGTAGCAATGATGCTACTCACGCATGCACCATACAGCTAGTAGCGCATTGTCGATCACCTCAAGTCAAGACCAGCTTGTCCCTCCCTTCGTTCATCCATTCTGCTGCTTGCTGCAGGAAACCGAGTTCCCCTCCAACTCTCTCTTGCTCCACGCAAGAGAGAGTACCCCTCTCACAACTACCAGAGCGTATCAATCTCCCCTGAGGTAGTCCTGTTTGCAGCCACTTTCCCACCAGAGCCCGTCATGTGTAGTTCTGATGACGAGGACGATGGGGGGGAGGACGACCATAGCGCTGAGCGTTTTGTTAGGGTCGCTCCCCTCAGAGGCCTCGATTTCCTTCGTCGTGCACATGCCGCACCTGTGTACTCGAACCCCCTTCCATCTCTCAGCAGTGAAGAGTGGGAGCGCAATCAGGACGATGTGACTGAGCTGGTTGACTCGCCATCCAAGGCCCCGCCTGCCACTCGTCCCGCCACGACAACCCCAGCTGCCACTCGTCCCGCCACATCAACCCCAGCTGCCACTCGTCCCGCCACATCAACCCCTGCTGCTACTCCTCCCGCCACGACTACATCGGTCGCCGTGACGTCGAAAAAGAGGCGCCGCTATGAGCAATCACACCTGCCATTTGCACCGCCTCCTCCTAAGCCCCCCACTCCGCCACCGCCGGAGCGTGTCACTGCACCGTCAGCGAAACCGACAGTTGCGGAGAAGACGGCGAGGGCATACGAAAAGGCGCAACATAAGTACACCAATGATTGGCTCCCGAAATTCCCATGGCTGGTCCTTGATAAAAATGACGACGGAATCCCGTGCTTGCGTTGCAGTGTTTGCATGGAGCATGGTGCAGTGCATGCAAGATACGGGCGTGAGGGCAGTGGCGGTCGGGATCTGCAAGTCGGCTCGATGCGCTGGCACCAGGAGAGTCAGAAGCATGAAGACGCGGTGAGGAAGCAACAACACCTGCTGACAGAAGTGGAGAACCAGAAGAGGATGGAAGACTTTGTTGCGAATGACCCAGAGGGAGCGCGCATCATTCGGCTACTCCGCGCCATGTTATTCATCTGCAAGGAAGATGCGCCCATCAGCATGTTCACCCGCCTCGTGGGCTTCATGGCGCATGAAGGGGTGAAGGACGTTCCTAAGCAGAGCTACGGTGTCTACATAACACAGTAAGTTTATTAATCCCCTTGTACTGCTTCTCTTTCGGGTTTTCCTATAACCTTTGGATTTTGTGATCCTCTTTAACCAACTACTAACACCAGTGTTGTGTGCATGCCTTTCTCACTCCCATTCAGGTACGGCTTCAAGGAGATGGTGAAAGCCATGGTGGCTTTCTTGCAGGCGCAACAGATGTCGCATATTCACGCATCTCCATTCATCGGCCTCAGTTGTGACGAAAGCACCGACAGAACGCGGGGGAAGCACTTGATCCTGTTTGCAACATTTCTGAAGAAGCGGAAAGTGGTCACCGAGTTCCTAGCTTTGCTGACCGTGGACAAGTGCGACGCGGCTTCTCTGCAGGCGATCATCCTCTCCCACCTCGAGACCCTCGGCGTCGATCTCCAGAAGATCTCTGGCATCAGTACGGATGGGGCTTCTGTGATGACAGGCGAGCATCATGGCTTGGTGGCTCGCTTACGAATGCGCATCCCGCACCTCGTGGGCGTCCATTGCATCGCCCATAGGTGCTGTTTGTTTGTTGCACCCATACGTGCTTTTAATGGCTCATGCGTGCATAGCTACATGCCCCTTCCAGGTAAATCTTGTCAAGTTGCTGATGCTCTCTGTTTTGTTTTTGTTGGCAGAGAGTCCCTGGCTGTCAAGGATGCTGCCGCGGCCTTCCCGGACTTCAAGATCATCGATGCCGTCATCCGCGCATTGGGGGAGATTGTTGGCCGTTCCACCCCATGGTATGAGCGCTTCAAGCACCTGCAGATGGTCATCCACAACACCAACCTGGAGCATCAAGGACTCTACCTTATCCGGTGGCTCTCACGTGGCGATGCAATCAAGAGGCTCTGCAGCATTCTCGGAGCGGCGATCGTTGTCCTCATCGAGTACAACCACAAGCTGGCACCGGTTGTGAAGACGCTGAAATTTCACTACTGCCTGTACTTCCTCGCTGACGTCCTCGCCGAGATGAACACCCTCAACAGGTTCTTTCAGAGGCGCTCTGTAAGTGGTGGTTTTAACGGGACGTACTTTTGTTTGGCGTATCTCGTTGCACTGTTGCACAGTCTTGCTATGTGATTAACTTGGTAGTCATGTGCGTGAGTTTAATTCTTTGCATTTTGTACCTCCGCCCGCCCTATGCCCTTTCCGTCAGGTGGACATCACCCTGGTGTCCCAGGAGGTTGACCGCACGGTCACCTACATCCGGCACCGTTACATCGAGTACGGTGCGACATTCGGGGGGGGGGATGAGCAAGAGGCTGACCAAGTTCCTGCAGCGGCATGCCAGCGGCAAGCGCAGCATCGTCGTCGATGGCATGGACAACGACGGAAGTCCCTGCACGCACGCATTCGAACTCTCGGAGGAAAAGCTACCCGGCCACAAGTTCGGCGGCAGCATGTCGGACTATGAGGACCTTTGCTCTGCGTTCGCCAAAGACATGGTGGCGAATGTGGAGCAGAGGCTGTGGGATCTGAAGCGGATGGGCGGCGCGGGACTGTTCAAAGTTGAGTGCTGGCCGAAGAAGGCAGAAGTGCGCGAGCGGCGACATCTCTCCTGGCTCGCATCCAACGTCGCCCTCTTCGACCACAAGCTGCCAGGTAAGTCAGTAGTTCCGTTAACACAACCGTATCATTCGTTGTTAAATGTCAGTTTGCCTTGCCCTAGGATGGATACTAAACCGTTGTCCTCTGCTTCTATTCCAACCAAACCCCAATTCCAGGAGTGAACCAAAGGGCGGCCGAGCTGGAGCTCAAGACCTTTGTTCACATCATGAAGAACCACCGGGCGGATGATGACTTCAACCAGGGGCTGGCTGCCATGCTCAAGACCCGCGACTGGCCTAAGAGCTATCCCAACCTGATGGCATTGTGGCAGGCCATGGCTGTGCTTCCACTGAGCACAGTGGAGTGTGAAAGAGGATTCAGCAGACAGAACGTGATCAAGTCGTGGCTGCGGACGAGCTTGTGCGATGCAAGGCTGAGCGAACTCATGACGATCAACATGCTGGACTACGACATGGACTACGCCGAGATCGTTGACATCTGGAGGAAACAGAAGATGCGAAAGCAGGCTAAGACAGTGGCCTATGAGACTCCCCTCGACAAAGGCAAGAGTGCAGCCGAGGATTCGGATGAGGAGATTGCAGCTAGTGAGGGTTCATATGAGGATGATGATGATGATGATGATGATGATGATGATTGATGAGATGCTGCTCTGTTACCGTGCCATGTGGATGTGAGACAATACTTTTTGCTGGGCAAATTCTAGATCTCTTCCAAATTCTAGGCGGACAGGGTTTTTTTTCTGATAAGGCACAAAAACCCTGGCAAATCAGAGTTCCGGTCCAGGGCACCCTGGATTTCAGAGTTAGCCCATGAGCTACTGGTGAAAATCAGAGTTCATAAAAGTCAAATATAAGCCCTGGTCGAGGGCTGTCCCGAAGAACTAGGTATGGCTGCTGGGGCACTGACCCCAGCAGCGTTTGTTGTCATGGGGCCTGTCTCACGATCGCGCAAGCCAGAAACAGCCGCAGAGGAGCAAAATCTACATGCTTAGAGTCGTGCAATTAGCCATAGGGAGCTGTTGCTGCTCGTGCTACGCATGAACGCTTGTGAGGATGAATGATGGGTTAGGGGGGCAAACTGGGGGGACTTTCATCTCCCTCCAAGCGCCTTCGTTCGTGCGCCTCCACGCATGGTGTGGGACGCAACCCGCGGTGCATCACTCATCTCCTTGCATCTTTGCCTGCCGAGGACGAAATGTGCTGGCGCAATGCTGCCAGGATTAATTTGCTCAATGCTATCACGGGCGCCGACAATACGCTAAGGGACAACGCCCTGACGTAATACCGCCACACTGAGTCCTGCGCTGTGCCTGGCTGGAGTGCCGACACCCTGCTAAGAGACAACGGCGTGGCAGCTTCTGAGTCAGAGGACAGCTAGGGGCCTGAGGTTTTCGACAGCATGGATGCGACTTCACGCGATTTCATAATCACGCATGGCACGGGGAATGACCGAATCTGACAGACAAGCTGCCTTGTGGCCTAGTGGGCACATTTGTTTGTTTCAGACGAAAATGTACTCGTTGCCTGAAAACTCAGACGAAACATTAAACGCAATCTGATTTTTCAGACGAAGTAAAAACGTCTGTCTTAACATTCAGACGGAATTAATAAAGTGGTCTTGAAAATCAGATGAACCTAAAAAATCAAGTCTGATTATCAGACGATCAGATCAGACCGAATTCGTCTGCTGTCAGGGGCCCTGCTCGGGACCGAAGAAGTTGGCCGAGCCTGGACTTCTGAGATTCGATGGCGTATGCGCTGTAGTGGAGCCCAGTAAGGGAAAGGGAATTTCCTTACACTTATGGCAACGTTGGCCACTGGTTACAGAATTCAGTTAAAATTGTGATTTCTTAGCATGCTGCAAATGGGGATAAAAAAAGAAAACACTGGCGAATACGTATCATGGAAATCCTAAAAACGAGGCCATTCCCAAGTTAATGCGGGAGAACGATTGCAATTGGGCTGCCGGTTGATGCGGCGAGAATCCTGCCGCACTCCCTGCCGCGTCTCCTGAATCTTGACCCTAACGAGATCGGAATCCGCAGAAAACGCGAGGTTTCTGGCTCTCGTTGGCGTTGGCGAGATGAAATCGCAGGCTGATCGCTTGTTTCGTCGCTCCCGACTGTCAGCTGGCGAAGCGTCACGGTGACGCCTGGAGGAACGTCCCTTAGCGACTCGGGTTACGCATTACGCGGCGCACGCACCGCGCCAGATTTTTTTAGGCTTAAATACGCGCAGAGAGCTCTTACCCGCCTATAAACCCTCGTTGACTACATGGCGGTGCTTAGTAGGCCATTCGGATCGCGAATGGTTACCACGATATTGTTGCGAATGACAACTTGGATGTCACCGAAGGCGATCGTTACAGCAACGTCGCATAACTGTCGCAAACTTCATCCACTTCTCGCCATCCATCCCGCTCATCCGACCCATCTCCTCCGTCCGATCATCTCTGGGTCGTTCTCCGCCGTCGGATCTATCCCCTCAATACCATCCTGTCCGTCGATTCCCCAAGCAACAGCAAACCCTAGTCCCGATCCTCCCAATCCTCTCTTCGCACCGGCTCCGAGCTGCTGTCCTTCGTTGCATCTCCTTGCAAAGCCCCCTCACACTCTACCCGAGGAGGCTCCTTTCCCTCCTTTCCTTAGCGCTGGGACCATCCGATCCTTCTCATCCGTGAATGGCGCTGCACGTGGCGGGAAGGGGCAGCGCCAATACCAGGAGAGCCGGGAAAACCGGAACCAGCAGCGCCGCGCGGAGGGGCAGCAGCAGCAGCAGCAGAGGGAGCATCGCCAGCAGCAGGACCAGCAGCAGCAGAGGGAGCATCGCCAGCAGCAGGACCAGCAGCAGCAGAGGGAGCATCGCCAGCAGCAGGACCAGCAGCAGCAGGGGGAGCAGCGGCGGCTGGAGGGCGAGAGCCACATGGTGGCGGTTCGAGGGGCCTTCCGCCAGCTGGCCGAGCCGCTGCAGTGGGCGCTCCGTGGGGCGGCGTTCTTTGTCCCGACACGCATTCAGGAAGAGGGCATTCCGCGTCTTTTAAAGGGGGAGAGTGTGAGTATAGCGAGTCATGGGGTGTGAGTATAGTGAATTACCGAGGGCGAGTATAGCAAGTTATTGTAGAGTTGAACTTGCCTCCTCAGGTTCCGGAAAACCCCCGTCACCCCATCCCCCCCCCATCCCCCCCCCCATTCCCCCGCCGTTCCCCCCCCATTCCCCCCCCATTCCCCCGCCGTTCCCCCGACTTCCTCCCAGCTCTTCCTGGCCTCCCCCTCAGGGTTTGGCAACACCTTGGCATGCTACTTCCCCATGTCACTCTGACTTTCCCCACACCTCCTCTCCCTTTGCCTCCCCTCCGTTCCTTCCTCCCAGCTCTTTCGTTCTTCAACTTCAGGTTCCAACAGAGCCCTCGCCTATCTCCTCCCCATCCCCCACCTCCTATGTTCCAACAAGCCTTTAACCTCAAACCCTTAAGCCCCTCAGGATCAGGCAAGACCCTTGGGTTAGTCTTTCCGTCTCACTGTAGCTTTTACCGCATCTCCCCTCTCTTCGCTTCCCCCTTCCCCCCTTTCCTTCCTCCCAGCTCCTCCTGTCCTCCCCCTCTGGATCAGGCAAGACCCTCGCCTACCTCCTCCCCAACCTCCACCCACCTCCTCTTTCTAGACATGCTAAAGCCCCTCCCCTCACGCCTCCCCTTCCCCCCCCGTTCCTTCCTCTCAGCTCTCCTGTCTTCCCCGTCAGGGTCAGGCAAGACCCTCGCACATCTCCTCCCCCCCTCCTCCACCTCCTTTGTTCAAACATGCTGAAACCCCTCCCCTCATGCTTCCCCCTCTCCCCCCCCGTTCCTCCCTCCCAGCTCTTCCTATCGTCCCCCTCAGGATCAGGCAAGACCCTCGCGTATCTCCTCCCCGTCCTGCACCTCCTCCACCTCCCCTCCGTCTCCTCCCCCCTCTTCTCGCCCCCCACGTCCCCTCCTCTCGCCTGCGCCACCACCGCAAGGAGACCAGAGGGAAGGAGCGCTCAACAGCCAATAGCAATGCGCCACCTGGCAGTGGTGCTGATGTTCGTGGTGGTGGTATTGATGCTGCTGCGGGTGCCAGTGGCCCGTTTTGTCTTGTTTTGACGCCCACGATGGAGCTGGCCAATCAGGTGGCGGAGGAGGTCCGCCAATTCACTCGATCCATCCTGGAGCTGAAGGTGGAGGTGGTCACTGCTGCAGGCTCAGGGCACACTGTATCCCAGGCAAGTTGATTCTTTAGAATTCTCAAAATTAGGCGATTTTTGAGAAATCTAAAAAATCGCCCACACCCTATCACCACCGTTATCAATTAAGGTCGGCATGAAGCTCGATTCACCTGGCCGATTGAGGGCACACTGTATCCCAGGCAAGTTCTTTGTAGTTAGTTAATGCATGGAAAGGGGGGATTCTCTTGCTTTGCACCGGAGCGGAAGGCGGAGGTGGTCAGTGGTCACTGCTGCCTTTTGAGTCAACTCAAAAGGTGCTCACTGCTGCTGCCCCGAGGCACACTGTATCCCAGGCAAGTGATTTTATATAATTATTTATATGAAGCTCGATTCACCCGATCCATCCTGGAGCTGAAATTGGAGCACTGTGTGCCTCAGGCAAGTTTCCGTCAATCAACAGTAAAGCCTAAAACGCTGAACCCTGAACCCACATAGAAAGGCTGAACCGTGCTTTACTCGCTTTGCACCGGGGCTGAAGGTGGGGTGGTCATGTCACTGCTGCTGGTCCACTGCATTCCCTATCTTAGGCAAGCTTTGTAAGGCGCTCACTTGCTGAGGGGTTGTGCTCACTCAATTCACTTGATCCATCCTGGAGCTGAATTTGGCGGAAATGGTCACAGCTGTTGCTTCTTCACGGCTCACTAGTATGTCATTATTTCACAAGCAGGTTCTCAATATTTATGAGGTGATTTTTTAGAGTTTTCAATAATTTTGAGGTGATTTTTGAGAGTTCTCAATATTTTTGAGGTGATTTTTAAGAGTTCTCAGTCTTGGTAAGGCAACAAAAAACATGGAGCTGAGCTCAGCACACTGCTTCACTTCATAACCTCGCAATCAGCTCCTCTTGCCCATCTCAAACTGGTGCCTTTGCGTTGACTCACAAGCAGTCTCTTGCCCATCTCAAACTGGTGGTGCCCCCACTCACGTCCTCCTCCCCCTTCCCCGTTCTCTCCCCTCTCCCCTTCCACCTCCCCTTGCATACACATTGCCCCCACCCCCCATAGCCCCTCAGGTTCGCTCGCTCTACCGCCGCTCCCCCGATGTGCTTGTTGCCACGCCTGGTCGGCTGCTGAGGCTATTCCAACAGGTGGGCCGTCTCCTGTGGGGGGTGCGGTGGGGTTGGATGTGGTGAGTGGTGTGTACGGAGCCTTGCTTTGCCCATGCGCTGGTGTTGCCATGCCACGCCTGGTCGGCTTGCTACGCATGGTCGGCTTGCCACGCCTGGTCGGCTGCTGCGACTCTACCAACAGGTGAGAAGGGTGTGGTTGGGATTTTGTGAGTCGATGAGAGGCTGGTAAGCCAGTCTGTGCAGACGAGGCTGGCTCGTGCTGTTGGTGTGCCAAGGCCCACCTGGTCAAGTTTTTGCGCCCCATGTGCTGCTGTTGCCACGCATGCTGTTTCCAAGCCAGGTGTTGCCACGCCTAGCGTTGCCACGCCTGGTGATGCTTTCCACCCATGGTGTTAGCCATGCCTTGCTGGCTGCTGCGACTCTACCAACAGGTGATAGTCATCTGAACCTAAGTGGAGAAATACGCGTACAGCGTATTATACGCTAGCATATATGCGCTGTACGCTTGATTCCGGGATTGGATACGCTAGGAAATACGCTCTGGCGGGCAGGTCTAAAAAAAACTCGGGCAGGTGTAAAAAACCTGTTTGGGGAGGGAAGAGGGGGGGTGCAGAGCACCAAATTCCCCCCACCAAATGTGGCATCATTTAGCATGGTAATAAATAAATAGTTCAAGCCACCAAGGGCATGTCAAGGGTTCCAAACTCCTCCAACAACCAGCCAACCACCCATCTCAGGTAAGCCTCCCCCAAACCACTGGAGATTGGGTGGGATGCTGTGCGGTTGGGAGGGGCGAAGGGGTTGGGTTGAGGATTTCAAAAGCCAAATTTCGGTTTGCGACATGGAGAAATCCCTGTGGGGTTTTGCCATGTCGCAAATTTGTCGCATATTTTTTTGCGTATTTCTTGCCGGGCTGCCCGCCAAGAAATACGCTAGCGTATTGCGTACTTAGCTAGCGTACAGCGTATTCGTATTATACGCTAGCGTATATACGCAATACGCTAGGCTGCCAAAGCGTATTTCTCCACTTAGATCTGAACTGCATTAACACAGATTGGAACCCCTGGGTCCAGTGCTCGTTTTTCTTTTAAGAGTTTTTTAATATAGAATTCTAAATAGCCAGCTTGTTTTGGGCCCAAACCCAGACAACACCCTCCTCCTCCCCCGTTCCTCCCTCCCCCACTTATGTTGCAGGCAGCTTCCGAGAAGCACCCACCACTGGGACCCTTGACACTGACCAGAACCCCCATTGCAGCTGAAACTGCATCAACTGAAACTGTTGAAACCACTCCATCAGAATCCGTTTCATGTGGAGATGAAACCCGTTCAAGAGCTGTGGAAACGGCAGAAAGCTCAAAAGAATTGGGACTGCCCGAAAGTTCAAGAGCATTGGAATTACCACCAGACGCAGGCAAGCTGTCAGGCAAGGATGCTCTGGGCTCCCTGCCGAAAGATTTTCTCGGGCAGGTTCGGCACTGGGTGGTGGAGGAATGCGACAAGATGGCTGAGATGGGCCTTCTGGAAGACCTGAGGAAAGTTTTTTCGCTGCTGCCCAGACCGCAAAAGGCAAAGGCGGGGACGAGGAGGGATCAGCGGCCACACATGCAGGTAGCTCTTTTTCCAGCTGCCCGTTCAGTTCAATCACAGGTGCAGGTAGCGCTTGTTTCATGTCTGTTTGGTAGCTCTATTCTAGGTGTGATTCTGATTCACCAGACAGACATTCCCTGTTCCATTTCGTGATTCTCACCTGTTCCTGTGACTCACTACCTGTTCCGCTCATGACCCTTTTTCTCTCTTGAACCGTCTTCCCTCCACTCTGCTCCCCGCCTCCCCTCATCCCTCTCAGGTCGTTCTCGTGTCTGCCACCATCCATCCCGAATCCGAGCTGCTTCTGCGGCGCTTTGCTCCCAAAGGCGATATGCTGATCGTGCAACCGTCCACTTCTGACAAGCCCTCCGGTGACCCATTTCTGTCTGCCATGCCCACCCTCCCCGCCCGCTCTTTCCGCCCGCTCTTTCCGCCCACTCTTTCCGCCCGCTCTTTCCGCCCGCTCTTTCCACCCGCTCTTTCCGCCCGCTCTTTCCGCCCACTCTTGCCGCCCACTCTTGCCGCCCACTCTTGCCGCCCACTCTTGCCGCCCACAATCTGCTTGCCATCTGGTTGCCATCCACTTGCCGTCTAGTTGCCGTCTGGTTGCCGTCTGCTTGCTGTCTGTCTGTTGACACTAAGTGTGCACCTGCTGTCTCGTGTCACCTTTCTTGTTGCCTCCCATCCATTTGCACTGTCTGCAGTAAAGCAGCTGGCCTATCGCGTCCACCCTCGAAGGAAAACTGCTCTGCTTCTCTACCTCCTTCGACGACGGGCGTCACTGCGGGTGAGGAGGGCCATGGAGGGTAATGAGGACCCCTTGGAGTAGCAGGCGCAACGCGAGACACTTGGAGTAAGAGGAGCGACAATTGGAGGATAGATGCAAGTCAGTTTGGGCAAGAAGAGCTCAACGGACCAATTGAGAAGAGCGCAAGTCACTTGCATCTATCCTCCAAGTCACGCCTACAATACAAGGAGCATCAGCCCTCTTTGTACGGGCTCTGTTGAATGCTCTTCCCTGTTGTGGGTGATTTTTTAGATTTCTAAAAAACGCTGTAGGTGATGATCTCCTTGAGAATCCTAAAGAATCACCTATGGCTCAAATCACCCCTACAGCGTGTAGAGTAGCAGAGCCCCAGCCCTCTCTGTATCGGTTGAATGTGCCTCCCTGTCTTTCTTGAAGGAAACATCCAACATGCTTATTGGTTTGGTACTCGCATGTCGCTGATCTTGCCTGCTTTATGTCAATTCTCGGTGCGCCGTAAAAAGTTCAAATAAAAAACAAAACAAAATAATCTGATGTCTGTTTACAATCAACCGCTTTACCTACTCAAGGGTTCCGATCCATGTTCAATTATCGGTTGACCATTCCTTTCTCCACTCTTCACCCTTCCCCATAACCCCCTCTCCCCCTACCTATTGTGCTGCTCTCTTGCTCTATGGTCCCAGACCCATCAAGTGCTTGCTTTGAGCACAGATGCTTCATCTCTCCTCTCTCCTTGTTTTCACCCTCATCCCGCACCTTCTCCCCCACCTAATCCCCCTGCAGATGACATAGAGCACTACTTAGTACTCACCCTGCAGATGACATAGAGCACTACTTAGTACTCACCCTGCAGATGACATAGAGCACTACTTAGTACTCACCCTGCAGATGACATAGAGCACTACTTAGTACTCACCCTGCAGATGACATAGAGCACTACTTAGTACTCACCCTGCAGATGACATAGAGCACTACTTAGTACTCACCCTGCAGATGACATAGAGCACTACTTAGTACTCCCCCACCCACTCCCCCACCCACTCCCCCACTCACTCCCCCACCCACTCCCCCACCCACTCCCCCACCCACTCCCCCAACCACTCCCCCACCCACTCCCCCACCAGACCCACCAGGTGCTGGTCTTCGCTCGCACCGTGCTTCGAGCCCAGAGGCTTCACCAAGCGTGAGTCATTCCTGGGCGTTGTCTTGTTTCTTTACCTCATTTTGCCACGGCTGGTTGCAGCTCAAACCTCCATGCGCAGTGTGTCGAGCACAGAGGCTCCATGGGCTCTGTATGGTTTTCTAGTGCCCATCGCACGAGATAGGCAGGTGTGCTGTTCACAGCCAAGGGGGTTGCTGTTCGCAGCTTTCACTTACCACCACCATACCCTCGTCTCCCTTCCCCCCCCCCCTCCCCTCCTCAGGGCGCATTGCTGCTGCTGCGCTGTGTATAGCTTTCAGCCTCTCACCACTTTTTCCCCTTTCCCCCTTTCCCCCTTTCCCCCTTTCCCCCTTTCCCCCTTTCCCCCTTTCCCCCTCCTCCCACCCTTTCCCCTCGTTGCTCCCCCTTACCTCCATTGTCCCTCACCACTCCCTCACCAGGAGTCTATCAGAGGTGTGCTTTTCTGCAGTGCTGCTGCATGGATGGTGACTTGACAGGGCCGGCATAGAGACACGCACTAAACGCTTCTAGCCTCTGCCCACGTTTACCCCTCCCTCCCTCCCCCCCCTCCCCTCTCCCCAACAGCCTATCTGAAGGCAGCATTGCTGCAAGTGCTGCTGCATGGTGACCTCACAGGGGCAGCAAGGAGACTGTCAAGGGCAGCAAGGGGGGAGACCTGCACTGAGTGCCTTTTACCTCTGCCCATGCCTCCCCCCTTCTCCCTCCATCCACGCCCCTCTCCCCTCTTCAGGCTGACAGAGGGAGGAATCACTGCAGCCTTGCTGCATGGTGACCTGACAGGGGCGGCAAGGCGACATGCGCTGGAGGCATTTAAACAGGGAACCGTGCAGGTGAGGGAGAGAACAGGGTGTATGGCTGTAGAGATAGGAATGTGTCTTGGTTGGGGTGTAGGAGACAATATTGCTGCATGGTGACCTGACAGGGGCAGCAAGGCAACTTGCCCTGGACGCAGTCAAGCAGGGAACCGTGCAGGTGAGGGAGGGAGGGAGGAGGGTGTGTGGGTGGTGGGCCATGGCTTGAGCTCCTGTGTGTGGTTGGTGGGCCATGGCTTGAGCTCCTGTGTGTGGTTGGTGGGCCATGGCTTGAGCTCCTGTGTGTGGTTGGTGGGCCATGGCTTGAGCTCCTGTGTGTGGTTGGTGGGCCATGGCTTGAGCTCCTGTGTGTGCAAGGGGGGTCAGGGTAGGCAGAGTTAAAGGTCAAGAGCCGAAACAAAGAAGTAGGCTTGATGGGTGATCTGACGTGAGCATGTGGGTACCCAAGATGCTGCTGTGTCCCGTTGGGACCCATAGTCCCATGGTGATGCTCATATGGTGCCCATAGTTCGAACGGAGTGGTCTAGCGCCCCAAGGATGGGCCTCGTAGCACGACTAAGGGAACAACAGTGGTTTCACCACATGAAACCGCGTTGTTGGAAACATGGTTGCAGGGCTGAAACCGCGTTCCAATTGTTGGGTGCCACCCCCCTCGCATCCCCCCTGCTTGGACTTGGTGTCCACCATCGTTGCAGCGTGCAGTGTTAACATCTTAACATCCCCCTCTGCTGTTGCACCCCGCACGCTGCCTGTGGTGCTCACCTATGTGACGAAATGTACGCGCCCCATCTCCCCTGTCCGCCCACCCGCCAGGTCCTGGTAGCCACCAACGTTGCAGCGCGCGGTGTTGACATCCCCAACCTCCCCTTTGTGGTCAGTCCAGTCCAGCCTTCAGCCTCTCAAGCCTCCGAACTTGTCACTTCCAGCCATGGCTGTTTTTGCTCCGGCTTTTGGTGTATTTTGATTTGAGCCGTCTCAAATTGCGCCTTCCATGACTCTCTCCGTGCGTCGCTTTTGCAAAAAAGTCTTGTTGCTGGACAGGCTTGTGAAGGCAGGGTATTTTGAGAGTGCCTCGATAGATGTGTGGTTGGGGCCTTCGCATCATATCATATGGCGCTGAGAGCCCACCGGAGCCTCAATTGGAATCGCAGATCCTCGTTTACACTCAAATGCTTGAGAGCTCCTATGATCCTTCACTGAGAGATTAGTCCTTCACAACTTTTGAGGCGCCTCAAAAATTAGTCCTTCACAACTTTTGAGGCGCCTCAAAAATTAGTCCTTCACAACATGATATCATGTTGTGCTTAGAGCCCACCGGAGCTCCTATGATCCTTTACTGGGGTACTACTCCTTCATTGGAGTAATCGGCCATCATCGTTAGTGCCAATCAGAGATTTCTTAAGCTTTCTTGCTCGTTCTGGAGTCGGCCTTTGCCGTACCATGGCATTATCAGGCACACGCTTCATTGTCCTAATCGAGCTGCTCGGTTTCTCATCTTCCATATGAACCTTTTTTTGGATGCCCGGCCAGGTGAACTTCGACCTCCCAGGCAGCCCGCAAGAATATCTGCATAGAATCGGCCGAACGGGGCGGGCAGGGGCGGCTGGAACTGCAATCAGCTTTGTTGGGACACTTGAGACTCTTGAATCGGAGACAAGTGAAGGCGGACACACCAAAGAGCCGAATCAACTAGCGGAAATGCCAGAGTAAGTAAGGGAGGCCGGAGTTTTTTAAGACTGGCACAGCCTTTTCTCTGATTTGTATTGCTTCGTTGAGACGCTTTATGCTCTTGATGCTCTTGGTGCGGAGACAATCGCTGGGGACCGCAATTCGCTTCGTGGAGTCTCTTGAGTCGGAGACAGGCCTAGGGGGACACACCAAAGAGCCAATCGATGAACTGGAAGCCAGAGAAAGTTGAAGGCTGGTTACCAGTAACAAAGTGAGGCATAGGCAAGGAGTTTCCCTTGCCTTGTCATATGACTAAGTCGTTTAGTCATGTGACGAGCCATAACTCAGTCTCTCGACTTGCATTGCCTTTGTTTCCAAGACCCGCTTTCACCTTCCTCTCCACTTTCACCTTCCTCTCCGCTTTCATAGATCACCTTCCTCTCCGCTTTCATAGATCACCTTCCTCTCCGCTTTCATAGATCACCTTCCTCTCCGCTTTCATAGATCACCTTCCTCTCCGCTTTCATTGATCACCTTCCTCTCCGCTTTCATAGATCACCTTCCTCTCCGCTTTCATTGATCACCTTCCTCTCCGCTTTCATTGATCACCTTCCTCTCCGCTTTCATAGATCACCTTCCTCTCCGCTTTCATTGATCACCTTCCTCTCCGCTTTCATTGATCACCTTCCTCTCCGCTTTCATAGATCACCTTCCTCTCCGCTTTCATAGATCACCTTCCTCTCCGCTTTCATAGATCACCTTCCTCTCCGCTTTCATAGATCACCTTCCTCTCCGCTTTCATTGATCACCTTCCTCTCCGCTTTCATTGATCACCTTCCTCTCCGCTTTCATAGATCACCTTCCTCTCCGCTTTCATTGATCACCTTCCTCTCCGCTTTCATAGATCACCTTCCTCTCCGCTTTCATAGATCACCTTCCTCTCCGCTTTCATTGATCACCTTCCTCTCCGCTTTCATAGATCACCTTCCTCTCCGCTTTCATAGATCACCTTCCTCTCCGCTTTCATTGATCACCTTCCTCTCCGCTTTCATTGATCACCTTCCTCTCCGCTTTCATTGATCACCTTCCTCTCCGCTTTCATTGATCACCTTCCTCTCCGCTTTCATAGATCACCTTCCTCTCCGCTTTCATAGATCACCTTCCTCTCCGCTTTCATAGATCACCTTCCTCTCCGCTTTCATAGATCACCTTCCTCTCCGCTTTCATAGATCACCTTCCTCTCCGCTTTCATTGATCACCTTCCTCTCCGCTTTCATAGATCACCTTCCTCTCTGCTTTCATAGATCACCTTCCTCTCCGCTTTCATAGATCACCTTCCTCTCCGCTTTCATTGATCACCTTCCTCTCCGCTTTCATAGATCACCTTCCTCTCCGCTTTCATAGATCACCTTCCTCTCCGCTTTCATTGATCACCTTCCTCTCCGCTTTCATAGATCACCTTCCTCTCCGCTTTCATTGATCACCTTCCTCTCCGCTTTCATTGATCACCTTCCTCTCCGCTTTCATTGATCACCTTCCTCTCCGCTTTCATAGATCACCTTCCTCTCCGCTTTCATAGATCACCTTCCTCTCCGCTTTCATTTATCACCTTCCTCTCCGCTTTCATAGATCACCTTCCTCTCCGCTTTCATAGATCACCTTCCTCTCCTGTCTCCCAATCTTCCCTTCTCTGTCATCATCTCGTCCTCTCATTCCCATACAGCTGGATGGAGGCTGCCCAGAAGTTGCTCGGCCAGCGCATTGAGGTGAGCAGAACCAGCATTTTCACATTCGTAGAGATGAATTACACCAGCATGACTTTGTACTCAGTTGATGGTAAAAACGCATCTACAGGGTGAGTTGTACTCAGTTGTAGTAAAAAATGCTATCTGCAGAGTTAACTAGCCTTTCCTCCGTTACTCAACCATCATACAGTACCTCCGTTCCCCCTTGTTGTTCCGTGTCACTCCACCTGGTTGTCTCACACTCGTGTTTTTCTTCTCTCTTTTTTCTGAAGCTGTTCTGCTCATTGATGAAACCTGAGTACAATGCGACACACGGGCACAAGAAAGGAAAAAAGACAGAACCAACACAGGCCTCTGGTCAAACTGCCCCAAGACCCTCCCCCTAGGGCTCGCACAGAACCAAAGATATTCTCTTTTTTCTCTCTCTTGCTCTCTTGCTCTCTGGCTTCGCTTTTACTCACTTGACCTCTGGCTTCTGTTTTACAACAAGTAAATTCACGTACCGTATCCTTTCCTTTTGCCGCTCCTCCTCACTGGCCTCACCTGCTCTCCCCCACTGTGCCTCAGTTTCGGAAAGTCCCCGGCCCCTGGAGAGACGAGCCGGCTGGCGACTCTTGACTCTTCTTGACTCTTTCTTGAGGCGATGCAAAGGTTGCACAAGTCCCCAGACCCTCGAGAGCCGACCCGCTACAAATGACATGGCCTTCGAAGGACAGTCACCCCAAAAAGGTTCCATACCATAGTTGTCCCAGAGGCTGTGGGGCCCTGATACTCACTATTTGCGGTTGCTTCAGTTGTAGTGGTACCATATTATTGCTAGTAAGAAACATGCGTACAAATGAGGTACTACTGAGAGCGTGTTCCTATGGCCTCTTCCCAGGCCAACCTCTCCCCAACTCGCGTGCTACAGTGCCACGAACTTTGACGCGAAGTTGACGCAAAATGGTGCAGCGCGGTTTCGCATGGTGTGACGCGAAATTGACGCGAATTTGGGCTCGGAATTGCCGAGATTCAGGCGAGAGGGGAAGTCTGGGATGAGGTTGGCCTGGGAAGAGGCCATAGGAGCACGCTCTGACATAATTTTTCCTGAAAAAGGTTTGGGCAACACATAAGAAACCAATTATCCCCCCACCCCAGGATTCAGTGTCTGACTGCTAGCTTTCCAACACTTTTATCCTAACAGGAAGTCCCTCCCTCCCCTTCTCACTCTGTCAGCAAGCCAACGTGCCGTCACATCTTGTGACTTGCATATTCCGCACTCTCCCTCACAACTCGTACGTCCAAACGAGCCCAGAACAACACGCTGAGCCAGTTTCTGTGGATGCAGTCCTCAAGCGAGTCAGGGTCCGATGCATCGCAGCACAGCAACCCTCCCCACTGCTGTTACTTCTGCAGGCGGCGCTTTCCTCCACAATGAACGCCAGCCACCACGGCAAGGCCCTGGGGGCACCAGTGCACCGCGTATTGGCTCCCACCCGCCACACTTTCCTAGCCAGGGTGCGCTGCTTCATTGCCTTCTCCTCTCCACCACCTCTTCCACAGGTAGCCCCTTCCTCCTCCTCCTCACATTGGCAACCAACTTGCACTTGCTAGCCACATGCACCCCCGGGCCCACCCCCGAGTCCCCATACTCCTCCCTCGGCTGCGTGATCGACAAATCACACTTTCCTAGCCAGGGTTCGCTGTATTGTTGCCTTTTCAGCCACGTTCTCTTCCACAGGCAGCCCATTCCTCCTCCTCACTCCATCCACCAGCCTGTGAGCCACGTTCACCCCCAGACCCACCCCGAGTCCCAATACTCCTCCCTCTCAAGAGATCACACCTTTTTAGCAAGGGTCCTCTGCTTTGTAGCTTTCTCCACCACCTTCACTTCCACAGGCAGCCCTTTCTTCCTCCTCACTCCATCCACAAGCCTGCGAGGCCCACACAGACCCACAGGGGTCTTGTTGAAGAACTACACTTTTCTAGCTTAAGTCCGCTGCTCCGTAGCCTTCCCCACCACCTTCTCCTCCACAGGCAGCCCTTCCCTCCTCCTCCTCACATAGGCAGTCACCTTGGAAGGCACAGTCACCCCCCCAGGCCCACCCCAGAGCCCCCATACTCCCTCTCTGCTGTGTGATCGACAAATCACACTTTCTTAGCCAGCGTTTGCTGCTTGGTTTTCTCCACCACCTTCTCCTCCACAGGCAGCCCCTTCCTCCTCCTCACTCCATCCACCAGCTTACGCGCCACGTTCACACCAAGCCCCACCCGCGAGTCCCCGCACTCCTTTTTCTGCTGCGTGGTTGGTGTGAGCCAGAAAACTACACTTTCCTAGCCAGGGTTCTCTGCTTCGTAGCCTTCTCCACCACCTTCTCCTCCACAGGCAGCCCCTTCCTCCTCCTCACTCCATCCACCAGCCTGCGAGCCACGTTCACGCCCAGCCCCACCCCCTGGTCGCCGTACTCCTCCCTCTCCTCCTCTGTCCGCGGCACGAAGAACGGGTCGTCTGGCACCATCGACCAATGGCTCATTGCCAGCTGTACGCGGGGGAGAAGCGGAAGGAGGGGAGAGAGACGGGGTGTGGGCGGGGCGGAGGGGAGAGATGGGGGAGGGATATACAGGAGGAGGGGGAGGAGAGTAGTCAGACACCCAGGCCCACCCCCAAGTCACCATACTCCTCCAACTCCTCCTCTGTCCTCGGCGCAAAGAACGGGTCGTCGGGGACCGGCCACCAATGGCTCATCGCCAGCTGTTCATCAGAGAGAGGAGTCAGAAGGGGCAGGAGGTCAAGGGGAGGGGGCGAGGGGTAGGGAGGAGGGAGGAAAGGGGGAGGAGTTACCTGAGAGCTGGCAGCACCAGACGTCCTACCCCTGAGTTCCTCTGCAAATCCGAAAGATTCAGCCATGGCTGAATGCGTGGGAGCAGTGAACATCCCTGAGCCTTCGCTCATCTCCTCCCTCACCACGGCCGCTCGCCTCCTCCCCAGTACCGCATACACGGCTCCCAGGGCCAAGGGCGAGGGGCGAGGGGCGAGGGGGAGGGGGAAACTACTGCGGCTTACCTGAGGGGAGGCAGTGGGTCTCGAGGCACAGCTGCAGATGGCAAACGGGAAGCGGCTTACCTGAGGGCTGGCAGCACCGGACGTCCTCCCTCTCAATTCTTCTGCAAATCCGAATGATTCCGCCATAGGTAAATGGGCATGCACAGTGAACATCCCTGATCCTTCATTCATCTCCTCCCGCACCACGGCCGCCCGCCTCCTCCCCAGCACCGCATACACGGCGCCCAGGGCTTCGGTGGTGGTGGTGACCTCGCACAGGAACATCGCCTCCACCACCCGCGGGGAGTTGGCGGCCACTGCGGCTCTGCACGCGTCCTTCACTGCGCTCATGACTTGGCCCGATATGGGCACGCTCGATATGGGCACGCTCGATATGGGCACGCTCGATATGGGCACGCTCGATATGGGCACGCTCGATATGGGCACGCTCGATGTGGGAACGGTGGGCGTGGGAGCGGAAGGGGCAGGCGGTGTAGTAGAAGCGACAGGAGCATGTGGCAGTTCACTACTAGCCTGCTGCTCGCTGCCGCCGCTGGTGCTGCTGGTGGTGGTATTGGTGCTGGTGGTTGTGCTGCTGAACGCCCCTGCCCGCCCAGCGCCCCTTACAATCACGACCTCTACAGTGAACGCCAGGCCCCACAGGGGCTCCTCACACAGAGGCCCTGCTGACGTGGCGAGCTGGAAGCCACTCACTACCGACCCGGCCAATCCCTCGGCCTCGTGCCGCAGTGCCACGTCATCCTCTCCTCGTTCAGAGTCCCCACCACTGAAAGAACTACCAGTACCAGCAGCAGCAGCAGCAGCAGCAGCAGCAGCAGCAGCAGCAGCAGCAGCAGCAGCAGCAGCAGCACCATTAGCATCAGCACCAGCCGCATTGCCATCTGCTGGAGCCTGTGCTGTGCTGTGCTGTGCTTCATTCGAATCAACAGCTTCCTCCCGATCCCCTCGTTCCTTCCCGTCTGCAGCACCGGAATCAGCAGCGCTTGGCACTCCTGCCTCTCCCCCTGCTTCCTTCGCAGCACCCTCCATCTCAAACCTCCTCACAAGCCCCAGCTTCCAGGAAGCTTCTGGCAGCCCTTGAACAACCATACCGCCAGCTGGCAAGCTACCAGACACCCCCTGGCCAGATGCTCCTGCACTGGAATCACCCGAACCATCTCCACTGGAATGACAAGCAATAGGTGCCAATAGCAGGTTTGGCCCCACATGTCTCGGTCCTAAAGACCAGATTCTCTCCAGCTTGCTCCGCCACGCCGCCCGGAAGTCCGCCACTGCCGCCCGTTTTGCCTCCGCTCCCATTGGCTGATTCGCTCCGGAAGCAGACGAGGCGGCGCCAGCAGACGCACTGGCAGATGAGCCTCCCCCAGATGCGTCCATCCCCTCATCTATGTCCGCCTCATCTATCGCTTCCAAGAGCCGCTGGCGGAGCGATGCAAGAGTTGCTGACTGCCTCGACTGCTGCATTGACTGTGCGACTTGTGCTGGCACTCCTCCTTCCTCTCTCGTTCCATCTTCTTCTCCTCCTCTTCCTCCTCTTCCTCCTCTTCCTCCTCTCCCTCCTCCCCCCATCCCCCCTCCTTCCTCCACTAGTGCATCCCTCAAAGTCTCCCCCTCTCTCTCCATCACGGCTGCCAGCTTTCCAGGAAGCTTCTCAACGTGCACCCGCACCCTGCACCGCCCGTTTGCCGCCCAGAGCTCCGTCCAGAAAGCACCTCCCCCGTGTGAACCTGCTCCTGCTGCTCCTCCTGCTGCTGGGGGGCCAATAGCACCAGAACCACCAGCAGTACCACCACCAGCAGCAGTAGCACCACCAGTGCCAGTCCCTGTGGTGGTAACCGCAAGCGCGTAACCAAGACCGAACCCCAGTGGGATGGCTGCTCCAGCTCCAGTCGCCACGGATGAATAATTTGCTGCCAGAGCAGCTAATGGTGATAACGCAGCTGCTGTTAGCGAGGATCCTGTGCTCCCACTACTGCTCATCCCATCAACACCAGCAGCAGCACCACCGGCACCAAACACTGACGTAACACTAGGCGGAGGCCCCGGCGTGGTGGTAACCGTAAGCACGGTTGTAGGAAACGCAGAAGCGGACCCAAAGTGAACATACGGGCTCGGAGCAACAGTCTCTCGGAAGGAAACGATGGGCTTGGACACGACGAGCTTGATCCGCGCAAAGCGCTCCTGCAGGTCCTTGATGCACCGCTCCAGATGCACCTCCCCCGCCGCCCCTATCACGTGCTCGCCTGAGCGCGCTAGGACAACCTCTACGAAGGGGTCGGCACGGTTCAGCAGGCGCAGGCCGCGGGTCAACAGAGGGAGATGGCGGGGGTCCTCCGGCTCTATGGCCACACGGACAATAGGGGCAGCCTGGGGAAAGGGGGGGGGAGGGGGAGGAGAGGGGGGGAAGCCGGAAGGAGTGATTTTGAGACGTCTCAATTCCGTTCCTGCAGGTCCTTGATGGACCGCTCCAGGAGCACCTCCCCCGCCGGCCCTATCACATGCTCGCCTGAGCAGGCCAGCACCACCTCTACAAATGGGTCGGCGCGGTTGAGCAGGCGCAGGCCAGGGTGAGGAGCGGGAGATGGCGGGGGTCTTCAGGTTCGATCGCCACACGAACTATGGGGGCAGCCTGGGGGAGGGAGGGAAGGGGTGTGGTTAGGGTTCCGTTTGAGGATGCGGGTTGAGCAGGCGCAATCTGTGGCCGCGGGTGAGAAGAGGCAGGTGCTTTTGGACTTTCTAAAAAACGCCCTGCAAGATCAAGATGACGGAGGAGGCGGGGATCCTCCGGTTCGATCGCCACACGGACTATCGGGGCAGCCTGGGAGCGGGGAAGAGGGGGGAGGGGGGGGGAAGGAGAGGGGGGAAAGAGGGGAGGAGACATTCTAAGACGCCCCAATGCTGCTCCCTCCCAATCCCGGCCCCACAAAAGCAGTTACCTGGAAATTCATGGAAGCGAACGAGAGCAGTGGGGAGTGGAAGACATAGTCATGCTCTTCAATATGCACGCCTCCAACCCCTTGAACGCCCCACAGCTCCCTTACCCCCACCACCCCCTTACCCAAACCTCCTCCTCTCACCTATTCCCAAAAATAGTCACCTGGAACACCATGGACGCAAATGGCTGGCAGAAGGGCGTTGACGAGACAGTGGCGCTCTTCAAAATGCACGCCTCCAGCCCCTTGATCGCCACACAACTGCCAGCTGGCACGCTGCTGATTGGCTGCAGGCCCTGCCCCATCATCATGAACAGTGCGCCCACTTGCGCCTCTTGTCTGTGCCTGGCCCACGTGCCCGGGCGGCAGGGGTCGTACAGAGGGGAGAGGACGAAGACGCGCTGCCCCGCCCGTAGCCGCCCGCAGAAAACCCGAGCAAACGCAAAGAAAAAATCCCGATCCCGAACCGACCCCCCAGCGTCATCCAGCCCTGTTGCATCCCCTGACCCATCCCCAACTCCTCCTCCTGCTGCTGCTGCTGCTGCTGCTGCTGCTGCTGCGGCTGCTTCCTCTTCTGCTCTCTGTTCTTCCCTTGGAAGCATCTCAAACGGCACAGCAAACATCTTCGACACAAAGACCACACACGGGGCGTCTTCGCTCGAGTCACAAGTCTCCACCGCCCTATCAACTGCTGCCACCTGTCGCATCACCCACTCCTCCCCTCCCTCCGCTTCTCCTTTCCCTCCTTCCCCATCCTCCGCCCCTGGCTTGTCTGCCGAACCAGCAGGTATGGAGGGCCGGTTCGGCAGGTAGCACCCGAGCCTGTCTTTCTGGGCGGCAACAGGGTCGGGAAGGCAATCTACCACCATGGAGAGAATGCAGGGCGCGAGGGGCAGCCACCTGGCGATCACTGATTGGGCGACGGCGCGAGGATCCTTGTGCTGGAGATCCTTGGGCGGCACGGACAGACCCAAAGAAGATATGATCTTCTCAAGAACCGGATTTGATTTGGAAGTGCTGCTGCTACCACGATCACCACCAGCGCTGCTACTGCTGCTGGTGCTGCTGTCCCCGCCACCATGGCTGCTGTTACTCGAGTTATTCCCACCTTGAGCTGCCGCCTCGTAGATCTGCCACACGGGCTCCAGCACAAACTGCACAAACATCGGCCGCAGCCGGGCGGCAGCTGACGACGATGCGCCGCCCACTGCTGCCTGCGCTGCTTTCTTCCTCAGAATCTTCTTTGTCTTGGGAATGTAGTACCTGCGTGGGATGGGCAGGAAGAAGGGGGAACAGAGGGGGGGGGGGAGGGAGAAAGGGAGATGGGGGTTCCGTTCCAGCACAAGCCTCATACACCTCAGCCGCAACGCAGCCGCGCTGCCGCAGAGGACGAAGCTCGTCCCAGAGCTGATGGGAAAAGAAAAAGGGAGGTAGGGAGAATATATACATATATATATATATATATATATATATATATTCATGTGCAAATGACTCACCAGTCTCCCCACAGGGCCTTCATCAAAGCATTTTCAGACGCCCCCAGCTTTCTCGCATACATGGCTGCAAAGTCGTTCACCCTTAAAGCCCACCCATCCACCGCACTAGCCAACGCCACATTCCCCTTATCAGGAGAAAATACATCCTCCTCATCCTCCTCCTCCTCCCCCTCCCCCGCCCCTCTCGCTTCCTCCCCGCCCCTTTCTCCCTCGCTCCCTGCCCCGTCGCTGCCAGGTGGATGGTCAGCTGACGTGGCGCCAGCTGGCAGGGAGAGGGAGTCCACGTGGGACATGTACTTCTCAGAGCGGAATGCATGGATGATGTTGTTGACCTCGGTAATTATGCCCTGAGAGGGAGAAGGGGGGGAGGGGTGGGTGGGGATGGGTGGAGGTGGGGGGGGGTGCGGGGCGGGGAAGGGTAGAATTGACATTTGAGGGGCATCAAAGAACATGTGCTTCTCAGAGCGGAACGCGTGGATGATGTTGTTGACCTCCGTTAATATTTCCTGACGGACGGGGGGGGGGTTGGGGGGTGGGGGGGTAGCAAGGAGAGGGAGGGAGAGAGGAGGGGGGGGGGGAGGGGGAGTACCAAGGAAAGAGCAGGTTGGCACCACGTGAACGCGTGAATGATGTTGTTGACCTCCGGGATCATGCGGGGGGAGGATGGGGGGGTCTGGGAGGGAGGAGATTTTCGAGGCGCATCAAAACACATGTTAGTCTCGGAGCGGAACACGTGGATGTTGTTGTTGACTTCGGTAATTATGGCCTGAGGGGGAAGAAGGGAGAAAACGGGGGGGTGGGGGGAGGGGAAGAGGGTGGGGGGGGGGAAGAGGGTGGGGGGGGGGAAGAGGGTGGGGGGGGGGGGTGTAAAAGGGGAGAGCTATGAAGAAAAGAACAGGTTGGTGCCACGGTTTTGCAGGGTGTTTTTGAGAATTCTCAAAAACACCCTGCAAAATCAGGGATGCGGGGATGATGGAGTTTGACCTCGGTCATCATGCCCTGCGGGGGAGGAAGGGATTGAGGTTGCAAGGGTTTAGCGATGAAGGGACCTCTAAATGCAAGGGTTCCAAATCTCAACACACTCTGTGATACAAGGAAACAGCAAGTACTGTACTAGACACTCCTAATTGCCTGGTAAATTTATGGTGTGAGGGTAGGTCGAGGTATGGTCAGGGTTTGGTCAGGGGTTTTGTCAGGGTTTTGTCAGGGTTTTGTCAGGGTTTTGTCAGGGTTTTGTAAACACAGCAGGAGAAACATCCTCCTGTCCGCTTCGCACCTTAAGCCGTTCGTACGCCTCGCCAGGAGTGAGCATCAGCTCGGTTATAAGCCTGTCCATCTTGTTTATAACGAGTACGGGCTGTAGCCTCTCCAGGCAGGCCTGTCGGAGCACGGCGTGCGTCTGTATGTGCACCCCCTCCACCGCATCCACCAGCACCACTGCCCCGTCTGACACACGCGCTGCAGTCGACACCTCACTGTGATGATTTACCACATCAGCACAGGACCGGGCGATGGATGGGAAAAGGGAGGGAGAGAGTTAGGCACGCCTGTCTGAGAGCCACGCACTGCTGTTGATACCTCGCTGTAATAGTAACACCAAAAATTTTACACAACGGTATGGGGAGATAAAAAGGATGTGTGTGGTTGGGTACGATAGAGTGAAACACTCAGAGAGAAATTCAGTCGGGACAAGGGAATTGGGGCAGGAAAATGGAATGTGGAAAGTCAATGGGATACGGAGGAAAAGAGCCTGTGACAGCCACCCACAAAAAATATACCCATACAGGCAAGCTCGTTACCTGCAGAAGTCGATGTGTCCAGGAGAGTCAATAAGATTCACAAGATATTTGTCCTCCAAACCATCCTGCGCCTGCGGCTTCCCCCCTTCCCCGGCCGTCGCGCCCATAGATCCCCCGTGTCTCCTAAACAGCAGCGCGATCGACGAGCTCTTCATAGTAACCCCGCGCCGCTGTTCGTCCTCCCGCCAGTCTAAGAACCTAAGCTTCCCGACGAGCCGCGGGTGGATTAGACCGTTGCTGGCGATTAAGTGGTCTGAGAGCGTGGTCTTTCCGTGGTCCACGTGCGCCAGCACGCAGATATTCCGGATGCGCTTCGGGTGGTTCTGGAGCGCCGCGAGCTCCTCCGGGGAGACGTGGAGCCGCGGATACAGCTGCGACATGGCTGCGTTAATAGGCGTCGCGGAATGGTGGCTGAGTTAATAGGCGTCGCGGAATAGTGGCTGAGTTAATAGGCGTCGCGGAATAGTGGCTGAGTCAATAGGCGTCGCGGAATAGTGGCTGAGTTAATAGGCTCGGGAAAATGACCGCGAAGAGTTTGTTGTGTTTGAGGTGTCCCTGACCAAGGGCACCGCTTGGAGGAGTTTGGGATTTTCGAGACAATGACAATGGCCGAGGTAATGGCGGCTCTTGAGGCGCCTGAAAAATAGACCGGCCAAGGGCAGAGCTTCGAGGAGTTTAGGAGTTTCGAGGCAAGACAATGGCTGAGGTAAAGGCGGCTCCTCACACGGTTACGTGCAAGCAAACCTGGAGAAATACAAGAAATCGAAAGATTCAACCGAGATCGACTACGGCCGGAATATGAGAGGCTCACGAGCCGCGGCTGCTGCCACTGGGCGCGTAAGGTGACGATACTAACCAACGCTATGAGATGATCGAAGCGTAAATCCCGCCGTGTGCGGTAACGGAACTTAGCGACACACTATATGCTGAGCAATCCACACGTTTGAGTCATAATACTGTAGCAATTATAGATTCGAAGGGAATAATCTCAGGGGACTAATTATGGCTTCCCTTGGAATCTCCGCAACCTTCCCTTGTGTACATCAGAAAACCACGCTGTCTACGCAAATGTTGAATCCTGCTTTCTGATTGGATCAGCCAAACCCAAGCCCGCCTAGAACCCTGCTCCGATTACTTCAAGGCCACGCACCACGAAGGTTCGAACTCTATAAACGATCACTCGATATGTTACAGCACGTAGATCAAATGTGCTGTGGTTTGAGAATAACCGCACTATTCCCATCACTTCGAGCAAATGTTGGAATCCTCGATATAGCATAGCACACCTTGCACGGAATGCGAAGTGGATCTCCAGACCTAAAATCTAGGACGCCAAGAAGCTTGTCTTCCCCAGCACCTCCTACCTTGAGAATCTCCTCGTGGGGTGTTTTGTGCGGAGGGCATAAATTCACTCCGTCGATTGAACCAAGTCGACCTGCCTCCGTGCTCGACACCAGCTCCTCGGCACAGCTCGGATTTTGCGGGCAGCCATGTTCGGATTTTTCGGGCAGCGTAACGACAACAAGACGCCGCCCAGAAAGAACGCGAATGCTCGAGCCGCGGCTGGTACCAAGAAACCGCGAACCTCGGGTGCTGACGTGGCATCGGGGGGAGACGCCACATCGGAAGGAAGCGATGTGGGGAGCATCTTAAGCGAATTAGGTATTTCGATCGATGACGGCGCCACCGCGGACTCTATGCGCGCGCAGGCCAAGGAGCAGCGCGCCAAATCTGCCGCCATGCGCGAAGCGGGGCTGTACGCGCGCGCGCAGAAGGCGGTAAAAGCCGCGCGGGAGCTGGAGAAGCGCGCCAAGGACAAAGAGGAGTCCGCCGCAATCGCCGCCGCGCTTTCCGCAGCTTCCAGGGAAGCGGAAGCGATAGCAGGGGAAGCGGTGGCGCGCGGAAACGTGTTACGCGCAGCCGCTGGGGCGCGCGGGGCGGGCGGAAGGCGCGTGGCGGAAACGAGATCCCTCGAGGCGGAGGCGGAGGTCCGATTCGCGGAGAAGGGGAAGGCGGCGAGGGCGGTTAAATCCGGATCTGCTGGCGCCAGAGCAGGGGGGGAGCGCAAGAGCGCGGCGGCGGAGGGAGTAAAAGCGGAGCGGAAGGGCCTAGCGCGGCTGCAGGCGGGGGGGGACGACGACGGGGAGCTCATGGCGCAGCTCCGCGAGATGGGTTGGGCGGAGCCAGCAGGGGGGAAGGGCGGAGCGGGCGGAGGCGGTGGAGACGGGCTTTTGGCGGGGCTTGATGACGTGGATGGCGGGGGGGAGGAGGACGAGGTAAGCGCGGCGCGAGAAGCGGCAGAAGCGCAGGTGTTGGAGTTAAAGCGCAAGGCGCGGCAACTTAAGGGGCAGGGGCAGGTTCAGGAGGCGCTAGCGGAACTAAGAAAGGCTAAGAAGCTCGAGAAAGAAATAGAAGACGGGTCGTTCTTATTAGGGTTAGCGGACGGAGGGGAGGGGGGGCATGACGACGAGGAGAAGAGATTATTAGCCAGTCTTGGGCTGACAAGTGTTGATGACGTGGCACTTGTGGAGGAGACGGATTTAAGGATGGGGGGGGATGGGGAGAGGTGGTGGGGGTATGGGCGGTAGGGGGGGAGGGGGAGCGGAATTAGACCTTGCACAGATTATGTCTATAATTGCTGGGATAGGGGAGGAGGATGAGGAGGAGGGGAGGTAGGGGGTGCACAGGGGTTGGGGATGGGTGGGGCTGCTGCTGGTGGGGGGAGGAAGGGGGAGGGAGGGGAGGGGTGACTATATGGGGGTGCTTATGACGATGGGGAGTGTATGGATGATCTAAGAGCCCTTGGATGGGAGTCGGATGAGGAAGGGGAGGAGGGAGAGGGAGTGAGAGAGGGAGAGGGAGAAGGAGAGGGGGACGGAGAGGAGGAGGAGGAGGTGGATATCGCAGCATTGCAAGCGGAGGCGTTGGAGTGGAAGAGGAAAGCGCTGGGCTTTAAGAGAGAGGGGCGTATGGGGGAGGCCATGGCGGCTTTAAAGCAGGCCAAGGGGCTAGAGGCGCGGATAGAGGCTGCTATAGTGCTGGCAGCAGGAGGGGCGTCCATGGGGCGCGATGCTGGGTCAACCGCAGGGCTAGCAGGAGTGGCAGCGGCAGCTTCAGTGGCCGCAGCAGCAGCAGCACAAGCACCGCCAGCGCCAGTGCCAGTAGCGCCACCAGCAGCAGCACCAGCAGAAGCAGGAGCAAGAGTGCCAGTAGCAGTGGCAGGAGCAGCAGGAGGGGGAGCCGGAGCAGGCAAGCCAGCAGCAGCAGCAACACCACCGGCAGCAGCAGCAGCAGCAGCAGCAGCAGCGCCAGCAGCTTTGGAGGATATGGACGAGAGAATCCGTGCGATACTAATGAGTGGTGATGATGACGATGATGATGATGTTGACTATGATGGTGGTGATGTTAATGAGGGGGATGGGGATGGGGACGAGGACGAGGACGAGGACGATCCAGACATGCTCGCTGCCCTTGCTGCTGCGGGGTGGGTGGGAGAAGAGGTGAGCAGAGAGGGGGAGAAGGAGGAGGAAGAGAAGGAGGAGCAGGAATCAGAGGAGACAAGCCTTGCCGCCGGGAGCCGGAAACTGCCGAGGAACTTGAGGCGGCAGCTAGGGAGTGCAAGCTGGCAGCAGTGGGGCTGAAGAGGGAGGGGCGGCTGGGGGAAGCCATGGATAAACTGAAACAGGCCAAAGGGCTGCAGGCTCGGGCGGATCAGGCTCGGGCGGATCAGGCTCCTGTAGGCCAGGCTCCTGCAGACCAGGCTCGGATGGAAGAGGCTCGGGTGGAAAAGGTTCGGGATGAAGAGGCTGATTCGCCCGAGGAAGTGAAGTGCGGGAGGGGCGAGGAATCACGAGACGTCATCGGGGGTGACGTGGGTAGTGGCAGTGGTAGTGGCAGTGGCAGTAGTGGCAGTGGCAGTGGCAGTGGCAGTGGTTTTGGTGCTGGTGGTGGGGGTGCTGCTCCTGCTGCTGCTGGTGCAGATGCCAGTCAGTTTGGTGGCGGCAGTGGTGGTGACCCAGATATTGTCATTGGTGGCGGTGGTGGTGGCGGTAGTGGTGGCGGTAGTGGTGGTGGTAGTGGTGGTGGTAGTGGTGGTGGTAGTGGTGGTGGTAGTGGTGGTGGTGCAGCTACCAGTCAGTTGGGTGCAGCTGTGGTTGCTACCAGCATGACACCTGCTGTTGCTGCCTTGATCACTGCCATGCGACTGCAGCAGCAGCAGCAGGAGCAGCAGGAGCAGCAGCAACCGCAGCCGCAGCAGCAGGAGCAGCAGCAACCGCAGCAGCGAGAGCAGTTGATAGCAGCATCAAGGAGCAAGGGTGCAGCAGAGGAGGGTCTTGTGGGCAGGGTAACCGCAGCAGCAGGAGAAATGCCTACCACAGCAGCAACAGAAGCAATAGCAATGGCACCAGCAACAGCAACAGCAACAGAAACCGCAGCAGTAGCAACAGCAGCAGCAGCTAGCTCAAGCAGCAAGAACGAGCTGGAGGCTGAATTACAGGCATGCAGGCGAAGGGCCGTGGCTTTCAAGAAGGAGGGCAAGCTGGGGGAGGCGTTATCTGAGCTCAAGAAAGCCAAGGCGATCGAGAAACAGCTAGCTGAGACAGGTGGTAACCGCAGTGGCAACAGCAGTGGCAACAGCATTGGCAACAGCAGTGGTAACAGCAGTGGTAACAGCAGTGGTAACAGCAGTGGTAACAGTGGGTCTGCCGCTCTTGCTGCTCCTTCGGCTTCTCCTGCTGCTACTACTGCTGCACCTGCTGCTGTGCTTCCCAAGAAGGCACCAACACCCCAGCGACGGCCCCCCTCCTCCCCTTCCTCCTTCCTTCATGAGTCTTGGCTTAGGGGAGGATGATGATGATGACGATGATGATTTGGGTATATTTGACGCTGCTCTTATGGCAAACCTCCGCAGCCTCGGGCTCGCCGGACCTGCCCCGGGCGGCCGCCAGGCCAGCCAGCCTGCCTCGGCCAAACCTGCCCCCGCCAAGCCTGCAGCAACGGCAGCAGCACCGTCGAAACCAGCAGCAGGCGCTAAACCAGTGGCGTCAGCTCCAGCACCAGCAGCCAAACCAGCTGCTGTTGCTGCTGGTGGCAGTGGGAGTGGGAGTGGGAGTGTGAGTGGGAGTGCGAGTGGGGGTATGTCATTGCAGGAGCAGGTGTTGGAGCAGAAGAGGAGAGCGGTTGACCTGAAGAGGGCTGGAGACATGGCGGGTGCCTTGGCGGCTCTCAAGCTGGCCAAACAGCTGCAGGCGCAGATGGGTTGAGTGCGGTGACGATGGGTTTCTAAGCAAGGGGAGAGAGTACGTTGCAGGAGCAGGATTGGAGCAAAAGAGGAGGGCGGTCAAGCTGAAGAGGACTCGTTCTAGGGAAGGGAAGGAGTGGCAGCAGCAGGTGTGGAGCAGAAGAGGAGGGCAGTCAAGCTGAAGAGGGCTGGAGATACCGGTATGATGGATGGCCTGGCTGCTCTCAAGCTGGTGAACAGCTGCAGGCGCAGATGGGTGAGTGCGGTGCTGTGGTGTTCTAGGGAAGGGAATGGGAGCATGGGATGTGTGTGCTGGTTGGTTGGTTGGTTTGTTTTCATGAAACATCCAGTAGGTACTACCAGGTACACTCATGTCATGTGACTAATAAAAAAAAAAAAAAAAAAAAAACACATACACACACACGCACACACACAAACAGCCAAAAACCTGAAACCAGCACCCACCACCTGTAGTACTACTAACGAACACAGAACAAAGCACAGAAAGAACACATAAGAGCTCTGTATATAGGAACCTGTAGATATCTCCTTGACACTTCGAGATATCTACAGGTTCCTATAAACACTTCGACAAGGCCATTTCAAGGGACTCCCTTGTCAACTTATACATATGAGCTATGTAGAAGTTTTAGGCTAGACTGAGGTATGCTTCTAGTGAGTACAACCAACTAGTATTTGTTCTAGGTTTCCACTTCTAGTCATTATTCGTTCTCACTTTGACATGGGTATCACGCGTAGGTTAGCATCCCCCACCTACCGCTCCGGCCCGTACCCTAGCTAGGCCCCGTCGCGCCTCCTAGCCACGTCGCGCCCCTCCTGGGCCCCGTCGCGCCACCCTAGCCCCGTCGCGCCACCCTAGCCCTGTCGCCCCTCCTGGGCCCCGTCGCGCCTCTAGCCCGTCGCGCCCTCCTGGGCCCCGTCGCGCCCCTAGCCCCGTCGCCCGCCCTAGCCTCGCGCCCTCCTGGGCCCCTCGTGCCCCCTAGCCCGTCGCGCCCTCCTGGCCCCGTCGCGCCTGCTGGCCCCGTCGCGCCCTGCCTGGCCCCGTCGCGCCTGCCTGGCCCCGTCGCGCCCTGCCTGGCCCGTGCGCCCGCTGGCCCGTCGCGCCCCCCCCCTGCCGCCCGTCGCCCCCTGGCCCCGTCGCGCCCTGCCTGGCCCCGTCGCCCTGCCTGGCCCGTCGCGCCTGCCTGGCCCCGCCGCGCCTGCCTGGCCCCGCGCCCTGCCTGGCCCCGGCGCCTGCCTGGCCCCGTCGCGCCTGCCTGGCCCCGTCGCGCCTGCCTGGCCCCGTCGCGCCTGCCTCCCCGCCGCCTCTGGCCCCCGCGCCTGCCTGGCCCCGCCGCGCCTGCCTGGCCCCGCCGCGCCTGCCTGGCCCCGCCGCGCCTGCCTGGCCCGCCGCGCCTGCCTGGCCCCGCCGCGCCTGCCTGGCCCGCCGCGCCTGCCTGGCCCCGCCGCGCCTGCCTGGCCCCGCCGCGCCTGCCTGGCCCCGCCGCGCCTGCCTGGCCCCGCCGCCCTGCCTGGCCCCGCCAGCACCTGCCTGGCCCACCGCACCTGCCTGGCCCCTTCGCCCCGGCTCGTCCTGCCGTGCCGCCTCGGGCTCCGTCTCCTCTGCTCGCCCGTGCTGAGGCGCTTCGCGGCCGCCGTGCTGGAGGGTGCCTGTGTTCCTGCGTCGCTGTGTTCCTGTGGAGCTGTGCCGCTGACCCTGCACGATGGCGGACTTCGTGCTCCGACTGGACGCCGAGGGCCATGCGGTTGACTTCGCCGCCTGGCTCTCCGATCTCCGCCGCCACCTTACAGGTCAGCGCCAGGATGGCCACTCTTTGGTTGTCCATGTCGACGGCTTGCTCCCCCGCCCCCCCGCACCTGCTCCCCTCCCTGCTGATCCCTCCTCTGATGACCGTGAGACCTTCTCTACTGCTGCGCTTGCCCGTGCGGTCTGGGACTCCCGCGATGCAGTCGCTCAGGTTGCCATTAGCCACGCCCTCCCTGTCTCTGAGCGCTCGCGTTTTGCTACTATTGAGACGGCCAAAGCTTACTTAGACGCTGTTATTGCTCGCTATTCCACACCCGCGTCTGCTTCTGCTGGTCGCCTGCTCTTCCCTATGCTTTTCCCAGACCTTGCAGCCTTCCCTACCGTCGCAGACTTTGCCACTCACCTGCGTGCCCTAGAGACCCGCTATCGCACTGCCAGCACTGCTGCCCAGCTCACTGCGCTCCCCCCCCTTTCTGCATGACGCTCTATTTTATCGCCATGCGCCTGCCAGACCGCCTCGCTAGTGCTCGCGATCACTTCCTCAGCCAGCATCCGGGTGACCTCACCCTCACTGCCTTTGTCGATACCCTCACAGAGATCGAGACTCGCCAGCGCACTATCGCTCAGTCGAGTGGTGCGCCGGCAGTCTCTATCTTTCACGGTTGTTGCCCCCTCCCAGTGTACGTTCACTGACGTTTCGGCTCCGCGGTCGCCTCGGCGGCCCTCTCACCGAGACGCTGCTGCGGTCCACCCGCAGCAGCGCCCAGCCGCGGTGGCCGTGGGTCGCCAGGGAGGTAGGGTGTGGGAGGTGGTGGTGGTGGCGGTAGTGGTGGTGACGGTAGTCCGCCTTCGGGGACTACCACTGGTGGGCAGGAGCAGCAGCCCCAGCCGCAGCAGGAGCAGCCCCAGCCGCAGCCGCCGCCCCAGCAGCAGCCTTCGTCCCAGCAGCAGTCACCGCAGCAGTGGGCCCGTCTCCCGCCTGGCTGGCCCGGCACCTCCGGAGGTAGTGGCCGTGGTGGCGGCCCGCGCAGCTTGGCGTCTACCGGCGGCTCCGGTGCTGTCACCTGCCAGTACCAGCTTCAGACCGGGCCTCTTCGCGGCACCCTGTGCCGCCGCCCGCACCCGACCGCCCGCTGTTTCCGCCGCCTCGACGATCTCTTTCGTCGTCGCTTTGGCCCGGCCCCGGACCTCCCCGACTGGCACAGCCTGCTCCGCCAGGGCGTGCCGATCTTTGAGTTAGACATGGATCAGATAGGTGCTGCTTTGCATGCTTTGTATTCTGACGCTTCTAGTGTTGCTGGATCTTATTACCCTGTGTACTCTAGTTTAGGTGTTGCACCATTGTGTAGCTTAGCCTCCCCTGCTGCGTCAGGCGTAGGACTGCCTAGGTTGCCTAGTCTAGTTGCTGCACCGGCTCCGTCCCCGGCCTCTGCCACTGCGTCGCTGTCCTTCACTCTCGACTCCGGTGCTTCTGCCTGCTTCTTCCGCGACCGTTCCACGCTCACCGCCGCTTGCTGCGCCTGCTGTTGTCTCTCTTGCTGACCCCTCTGCGGGTCCTGTCGTCGCTCGCAGTTCTACGTCCCTTCCCTGTCCGGCAGTTCCCTCGGGCTCCCTTACTGGCCTCCACGTTCCCTCGTTCTCGAGGAACCTGGTTGGTGTCGGCTGTCTCCAGGACCTCGGCGTCACCACCACGTTCTCCGGGCACGAGCGGTTCGCTGTCTGTTCTGAGGCTGTCTCAGGTTCCCCCCTTGCGACGTTCCCCCGGGACCCGGTGTCCGGTCTGTTTCCCCTAGACACCGCTTCCCCCCCCCGGTTGGTGCGTCCTCCCAGGTCGCTGCAGCTTGCTCGTGTCGGTCCCTCACTCACCCGTCCCTTCTGTGGCACCACCGCTTAGGTCACCCTGCTCTCCCGCATCTGCGTCACATGTCCCAGCACGGTCTTGTCTTAGGTCTCTCCGCGTCACTCCCTGCCCTTCCTCCCTCGCCTGCGCCACCGTGCACGCCTTGCGTCGAGGGTCGGCTCCGCCGTGCTCCTCACTCCTCCTCGCTGCGCCCTGCTACTGCCCCCCTTCAGACCCTGCACCTGGACGTTTGGGGCCCTGCCCCGTCCCCGGACCGCGCGGTGAGCGCTACTTCCTTGTGCTCGTCGACGACTACACGCGCTACACCACTGGTGTTTCCCCTGGAGCGGAAGGCCGACGTGCCCGACGTTCTTCTCCCGTGGGTTGTGGCTGCGCGTCTCCACCGCGGTCTCCCCGTGTTTTGTGTCTCCACTCTGACCGTGGCGGCGAGTTCGCCTCTGGTCGGCTTGGACAGTTCTGTCGTGCGGAGGGCATCACCCAGTCGTACACCTTGCCGGACTCGCCACAGCAGAATGGGGTTGCTGAGCGCCGCATCGGCTTGGTCATGGAGGTCGCCCGTACCTCCATGATCCATGCCGATGCCCCCCATTTTCTGTGGCCGTTCGCTGTTCGCTACGCTGCTCCACCAGCTTAACCTGTGGCCCGCTCCCAGCGGCCGCAGGTTTCGCCGACCCTCTTTGGACCGGGTCCCCCGGTGACGCGTCTGCGTTCCACGTCTGGGGCTGCCTTGCTCACGTTCGTGCCTCTGGCACGGACAAGCTCACTGCCCGCACTGTCCCCTGTGTCTTCCTCGGTTTCCCCCTGGACTCGTCTGACTGGCTTTTTCTACCACCCGCCGTCTCACCGCTTCCTCCACTCTCGTGACGTCACCTTTGACGAGTCGTCTCCTTCTACCGCCGCTTCCCTCACCGAGGTCTCCCAGTTGCCCCCCCCCTGTTCCTTGCTCCCTCTCCCCGGTAGCCCCTGCCCTCTCCCGCCTCGTCCTGCCCCGTCTGGTGTCTCTCACGTCACTCCCCTCCCGTCGGTTGTCCCGTTGAGGAGTCTGCTGACTCTGGTGGTACCCCGGTCCGTCCTTGCCGCGTCCCCTTCCCCGGTGCCTCCGCCCCACTGTCGCAGTCGCGACCCCGCTGCAGCCGCCGCCGTCGCCGCGCGCGCCGCGTCGCCGCGCCGCAGCCGCCGCCGCAGTCGTCGCCGCCACTGCCGCCGCCGCTCTTGGCCCCTGGGGGTGCTGGTGTGAGGAGGGGTGTTCGTCCTGCGGCTTCTGGGGGTGCCGCTGGTGTTGGAGGGGGTTCTCGCTCTGGGGGTGTTGGTTCTGGGGGTGCTGCTGTTGAGTGTTCTGCCGACGGTCGTTCCTGCCTCTGCTGGTCCGAGAGTTCCGGCCCAGCCGTCGCGCCGCCGCAGCAGCCGTCGCCGCGTCTCCGCTCTCCGCCTGCTCGGCCTTCCCTCCCCGGACCGGCCGCGGTGTCTCCCCACCGCCTGCTGACCTTCCTGTCTACGGTCCTGTGTTCCCGCCGCCGGACTCGTCTCCGGCCCGTCTTCCTCCTCGTTCCCCTCCTGTGTCCCTCCGCTGTCCCCTGACCCTACACCTTCCGTCTCACGTTTGGTCTCGCCGTCCCTCCCGTGCTCGTCCCGTCTCTCCTGTCCTTCCCACCCACCCTTGTTGCTCCGTTCCCGCTCGTCTCGTCCTCCCCCTCCTCCCGTCCCTCCTCCTC